GCTCTTCCAGAGATTAAGAAAGTTTCAACTAAGACTAAACCCTATCAAATGCACCTTCGGGGTAACATCTAAGAAGCTGTTAGGCTTCGTAGTCAGCAGAAAATGCATTGAGGTTGATCCTGATAAAGTTAAAGCTATCCAGAATCTACCTCCATCACGAACACAAAAAGAGGTTTGAGGTTTTCTGGTCAGATTAAACTACATAGCATGTATCTCAGTTAACCGATAAATGTGACCCAATCTTCTGTCTTCTCCGAAAGAACAACCTCAGAGCATGGGATGAGAACTGTCAAATTGCATTCAAAAAAGTAAAGGAGTATTTATCTCTCACTCCTATTCTGATGTCCCCCATCTCAGGAAAGCCTCTATTCTTGTATCTATCCATATTCGAGAATTCGATGGGATGCGTCTTGGGTCAACATGACGAGTTCGGAAGGAATGAAAGAGTCATATACTACTTGAGCAAAAAGTTCATAGATTGCGAGGTCAGATATCCTCCCATCGAAAAGGTTTGTTGTGCTTTAGTCTAGGCTACAAAGAGAATCAGACAATACATGATGTATCACACCACTTGGCTGATTTTCAAGTTAGATCCACTAAAGTACATGATGGGTGTACCTGCTCTCTCTTGAAGGTTTGCCCGATAGCAAATGCTATTGTCTAAATTTGACATCGAGTATGTGAGCCAGAAAACAATAAAAGGAAGTTTCATATCATATTTCTTGGCAAGCAAAACAGATGAAAATTATGAGCCGCTAAACTTTGACTTCCCATATGAAGACTTGATGGTCATATCCTTAGAAGAAGCGAGTACTTCTACCGACGATTCTTGGAGAATACAATTCAATGGTGCATCAAATGCATTAGGACATGGCATCGGGGCTATATTGATCTCCCCAAAAGGGAATCATTACCAATTCACTAGCACATTGAATTTCGATTACACCAACAACATGACAGAATATGAAGCTTGTGTTTTGTGATTTCGAGCTGCACTGGGGCAAAATATAAAGATCTTGCGGGTATACGGAGATTTAACCCTAGTAATCTATCAGCTACGTGGAGAATGAGAAACCAAGGATGCAAAGCTGGTGTAATACTGAAAGCTAATACTAGATCTGCTCGAAGAAGTCGATGAAGTCACCTTCCACTACGTGCCTATAGAAGAAAATCAAATGGTTGATGCTTTAGCTACCTTGGCAGCCACATTCAATGCTGGCGGGGAGTCTAAAATGATGCCAATTAACATGAAGTCATATGAGTACCCGACTCATTGTTACCAAATCAAGGAAGTGAAAGACACTAGCCTTGGTACCATGGCATTCTGCAATACATTAAAAATCAAAGTTATCCAGAGGAAGCCACCGAAACTGATAAAAGAATCATTAGAATGATGGCAGCTGGATATGTCCTTGACGGGGAGGTCTTGTACAAAAAAAACCATGATCAAGTCCTGTTAAGGTGTGTCGATGTAAAAGAGGCAAATATGATAGTGGAAGAAGTACATGATGGAGTTTGTGGAACTCATGCAAATGGACATATGATGTCAAGACAAATAATGAGATGCGAATATTTTTGGTCCACACTGGAAAGTAATTGTATCAATTATGAAAGAAGATGTCATAAATGTCAAATTTACGGAGACAAAAAAAATGTTCCACCTCATCCACTTCATGCCATGACATCACCATGGTCTTTTTCTATGTGGGGCATGAACGTTATCGGGAAAATCCATCCGTAGGCTTTAAATGGTCACCGGTTCATCCTTGTGGCAATTGATTATTTCACAAAATGGGTAGAGGCTACGTCATATACCAGTATCACTCAGTCTACTATTTTTAAGTTTTTGAAGAAAGAGATCATATGTCGGTATGGTTTACCTGAAAGAATTATCACTGACAATGCTACAAACCTGAACAACAAAATGATGGACGATGCTTATGAGCAATTCAACATAAAGCATCACAACTCTACTGCTTACAGACCAAAGATAAATGAAGTAGTAGAAGCGGCAAATAAAAACATCAAGAAGATAATGGAGAAAACGACCAAGACCTACAAGGATTGGCATGAGAAATTACCTTTGGCTTTGTTCGCTTACCGAACCTCGGTACGAACCTCGACTGGGGCAACTCCATTTTCACTAGCTTATGGAATGAAAGCAGTGCTTCCCATTGAAGTAGAAATTTCGTCACTCCGGGTCTTGATAGAAGTCAAACTGGATGATATAGAATGGGTGCAATCTCGATATGATCAACTAAACATGATAGATGAAAAGAGACTGAAAGCCATTCATCATGGTCAAGTATATCAGAAACGGATGATTTTAGTACATGACAAGGTGCGCCCGAGAATATTCTGTGAAAAAGATCTGGTGTTAAAGAGAATTTAGCCCATTCAGAAAGATTTCAGAGGAAAATGGATGCCAAATTGGGAAGGACCTTATGTCGTGAAAAAAACCTTTTCCGAATGAGCCCTTGTCCTGGCTGAAATGGACGGACCGGAACTGCCAAATCCCGTCAATTTGGATACAGTCAAGAAATACTTCGCTTAGGATAAAACCCAAGAGGGCATCCAAAGTTGAAGAAGAAAAAGAAAAAACATTTAGGGTGAAAACCCGAAAGGACGCCCTAAATTGAAAAAAGAGAAAAAAAATAAAAGAAAAAAGAGAAAAGAGAAAAGAAAAAGAAAAAATAAGGTGGGTTCAAGATGAAAACCCAGAAAGGGCATCTTGAAACCAATGATGGGCCCAAGTTGAAAACTCGAAAGGGCGATTTGGATATTGATTCAAGAAATCTAGACAATGGACATATCCCGGAATAAATCTTCTACAAACTTAATGAGTCGGAGAAAGGTTGCACTCTCCTGAACGTTGTCGTATTTTCGAAGATCCCTTGACAAAGGCTATGTTCAAAGTCACCTAACGACTTATCAGTTCAGAGGCGCTCACATTATCAAGATCTAAAACATCAATTCACACTTTATTATGTATTCATTTTCCAAAATTTTGTCATGTATTGTTTATTCTTTTCACTTATGAATAAAGACAATCTTTTCTCTAAGTCAATTCCTTTTAAGCATCTTGGATTGAACTTCACAACGAAAGGGCCATCCGTGATTTCAACTTCACGACGAAGGATATCGTGTCCACCAGCAATATCCACCCTTAGATTGGATTCAACTTCACAAAGAAGGATCTCTAATTCAAAGCTCAACATCACAACGAAGGGTCTTTCCAGTTTCATTCAGAGCAATTTCAACTTCACAACGAAGGATATTGGACTCGAAACAACGCAACTTACACAAGATTGGATTTCAACTTCATGACGAAGGATATCCAATTCAAAGCTCAATTTCACGACGAAGGAGCCATCTACGATTTCAACTTCACTACGAAGGACATTATACCCTAAAGATTGACCCAACTTCACGACGAATGAGTCATCTGTGACACAGCAACACTGAAGTCTTCAGGTCAAGTTTCAGCTTAACGATGAAGTATCTTGAGCTAGAAGATGGTTCAGAGGCCACGTGCCAAAAGCTTTGAGTTCGATTTCAACTTCACGATGAAGGATATCGTGCTAAGAAGTTTCTAATTCAACTCGACCTCACGACGAGGGAGTCATTTCATATTTCAGTTCAAACTGACAAAATCAGTCTTAACATCAGATTTCAACTCTATTTTCGTTACACTATAATGAGCAAAATTTCGATATGAGCAAAGATATGGTCAAAATTTGTCTTTGAATCTTTGCTCTATTTTCGTTACACGGTAATGAGCAAAGAGGGGTAGTTGAAGACACCGAATTTCGTCCATTGATATTATGTTATATAATATATTTTTTATTACAAACTATATCATAATATATATATATATATATATATATATATATATATTTGGGTTTTATTACATGTTACAGGACCCAGTGTAAAACAACCCTAAACCCAACGAGCCCATCAGCACCCAGAAATAGTGAGCCTGACCCGCATCGGCTGGATCAGCTCGCGCGAACCGAATCGATCCGGACCAGGACAGGTTAGGGTTTCAAAACGAAACCCTAGCCCATTTTGCTTCCAATCGCACCTCACCCTGAAGACTTCTCCGTGCCGCATCTTCCGCCTGCCATTTCCCTCGGTTCAACAACCACTAACACACCAACAAAATCCTCATTAAGATTCTATGTACACTAAAAATAGTAATTTTTTAACTATAAAATGATGTAATCAATACCCCATTGTACACACTGAAATTTCATACGAAATGCATACGATTACTCACGAAATCGCTCAAAAAATTACAAAGGTAACTCCAAAGCACTTGCAATGTTTCGAAGAAGTAAAAGAGGGTAAAAATCTCACCTTTTCATTTCGATTTCAAGGCTTACATGTAATTTCTTTTTTCTTCGTGTTTGTGTTTCAAAAAAACCCAAAAGAAAAAAACCAAAATCATTTTTATTTTTAAGCAATGGAGAAGGAAAGGTGTTCGAAAATAAAAAAAAAGAAAATTTTTCCACTGCCGATCACGCAAGGCGGCGGGGTTGCTGGAATATGGAAATCTACGGTGGTATTCATGTCACCGAGAGAATGAAGAATGGGAGAGGGGGCTTCGTTTTAAAAAGTGAAGAAATGAAATGTTTTAGGCTAAAGGTTGGCCTTTATATCGACCCGCGACCCGACTCGTGGATCTATAAGATCCCCGTGTTTTTAAACCAAAAAGGGGGAAATTGCAGTTTTGTCCCCTCAATTTTTAAGGATTTTATTTTGACCTTTAATTTAATTTTCACCCGAATTCTTTTTAAATTGGCCCCTTAATTTTGATTTTCTTCTAATTTAACCCCTTTTATTAATTATTATTATATTTTTTTCAAATATATTTTTATATATATTTATTTTTTATCATAATTATTATTTTTTTAAAAGTATCGTTCTATATATATATTTATATTTTTTAGTTTTTTTTCATTCTTTTTTTACTATTTATCTATTTATTTTTTACATGTTTATCTCCAGGATTCTTGGTACTCTCCAGGATTCTGTTCATGAAACAAGGAGAATATTGATCAAAATATTAGAAATTTATGAATAAAACTTATGTCAAAATGTACAAACTGAGAAATATACCAGGCAAGCAACCATCAAGGCGTGGCTAGTTCCACCGAGAGAGTCCTGCAGTATTCGAGTCAATTTGCTTTCTCGATAGGGTATTCGGGGCAGCTTGTTGTTCAATGCATATATCACATTCGACAAAGCAAACAAGGACTGGTTGATCTTAGCGCTCTCTTGTAGACGAATGCCTTCATTGCAGGTCCTCCTATTATCCTCATTACCTGATAAAATTTAAACTGAATTAGTAATTCGAACTTCCTATGCAACAAACAATTCAAAGTCTCCAAAATTTAACAACCTGCTAAGTCTATGAGGTTGAGCTTCCCCATCAAAACAGGCCCAGAACCTTCATCACAAGGACTGGAAACAGCAATCACAAGGACACCATGGCTTCTACTAGAAACATCATTGATGCCCGTATGTGCAACTTTCCTTCTCTGAATTCCACAGGAGAAGACTTGATGAAATTCAGAAATGGAATTAATAGGCACCCGGGACAGACCCCGTAGATGAGCCCGCCCGTCTTTGTCATCTAAAATCGAAATTTCTTCTGATTTCAGTTCTAAAAGATCATAACACCTATCATTGTAGACCTCATAGTATGAAATCTCTGCTATGCACCCTGTGGTTTGGCATATGGACAAGATTGTGGACATGGCCAAAGGCATTGGACCAGGATGTTCTTCTGTTCCCTGAATTTACAACACCAAACATGTTACTAGAAGAAACAACGGAAGCTGAAATGAACCCTAAACACAACTTTGTGTAAAAAACATTCAGGTCTTGTATCAAAACACCTGAAGCTGTTATAAATTAAAGAAATAAAAGGTTGTTTTCTTCACTGTACCTGCATGGTGTACGTCTTTCCACTACCAGTAGCCCCATAAGCAAAAACGGTGGCGTTAAAGCCATGGAAGATTCCGGGAATCAAAGAGTTCACTTCTCTGTAGAATATCCTTCTGACATTATCATCTTCTTGGGAAAAGAAAGAGTCCAATCTATAGCATTCACTTCGGCTACAATTCCAAAAAAAGAAAAACACATAATCAAAAACCAATGTATCTTCTTTGATCAAACATCAAACTACCCCACCCATAAAAGAAAAGAATCTCACCTGGTATTAGGATATTTAAGGTGAACAGAAACTTCATCAGAAGAATCATTATCTTGATGGTCAAGAAGGAAAGCGCAGGACATTGAGTCTCCGTTTCTTGCAGTAATTTCTTGAGGTAGAAACGGACGGACCCTAACCACCACCCTGACCTTGGAAACGGTGGCTTGTTTCGAGGGAGAACCTAAATTAACGCCTTGGGTTTCCATTCAAACAGAAAATTCTGGGAATAAGAAAGATAATTGGCTGAGAAATGTTAGAGAAAATGAAGAAAGTGGATTGGAGCAGTTGAAAGGCACGAAACAAATTTGTTTAGATTTGGGGATTTTGAATTTTAAAATATCTGATCTTTGGGAAATGCGAGAGAGGTTCAGCCTTTTTTTATTTTTCAATTTGAATTATTGTTTTGAAAACTGGACCGGACTGACCGGTTTAATCGAGAACCGTTGTTTAGTCCGATTCAATCATGAATCGTTGTCTAGTCCGATTCAATCGGAAATCGTTGTCTAGTCCGGTTCAATCTAGACCGATTGAACCGTTACTAGTGAATCGGCAGAACCGTTGAACCGTTCAAACCGGACCGGCTGAAAACAAAAAAAAACCGAGAAAAATTGAAAAAAATAGCCAATTTTGTTTTTTTTTTTAAATTAAACCAAACGACGTCGTTTGTTAAACGAGTCAAGTCGAACTCGAGTATTGCTGAGCTCAACTCGAACTTGAAAAATTTAAAAGTAAGCTCAACTCGATTCAAACTCATAAGCTAAAAATTATGAAGTTTAACTCGAACTCGAAATATAATATTGAAACTTGAACTCGAAAAGGCTTGAACTCAAAAAAAAATTAGAATCTCGATTGAAGCCTAAAATTCGAGCTTTATTGAAGTGAAAGAATAGTTCACTCAATGCTTACCAAAAGGCTCCATGATTTTGAATGCTAAATTATCTCTATTATTTATAGAAGTTAGTTGAGATGATCTTCTATGTTTCTTAGCCTTGTGGGATTGTTTTTAAAAAAAAAACTTAAACCAAACAATATCATTTTGTTATGATTTTTTTACCGCCAAATTTATTTTTTAATTATAGTTATATAATTATATTTATTATTTAATATGTTTTACCTTGAATATTATGTTGTAGTTAATTTGAATAATTTTGTTTCACTTGATTTTATGATTTTTAACTTATATATGTTATGACTTGCTTTGAATATGAATTGTGATATAAAAAATTATTTTTTATTAAATATTTTTGGTATTTTTATTTAATTTTTTAAATAATTATGACGTCGTCCGGTTCTTCCGACCGGTCGGACCAGTTCGACCGGTTGAACCAGTGAACCGGTAGCATGGCCGGTTCGCTAATCGGTTCGGTTCTTAAAACCATGATTTGAATTTGTCTTGCCCGTTGGGTTTGCAATACACACCGTCTTTTTGGCAATATGTTTGTTTGGGGGTAAATTACACGTTTAGTATCTAAATTATCATTTTTGATCCGTTCTAGTACCTAAACTTTCATTTTTTTTAAACATATCTAAAATTTAGTTTTTGTTTCATTTTAATACACTTGTTCAAAGTTTAACGTTAAGTTTTGAAAAAATTAAAAGTTTAGGTACTAAAACGGATAAAATTGATAGTATAGGTACTAAACGCTTTAAATTTTTAACAGTAGGTTCTAAAATGAAACAAAAACTAAACATTAGACATGATTTTAAAAAAAAAAATGAAAGTTTAAATATTAAAATGGACCAAACTTGATAGTTTAAATATTAAATGCGTAGTTTACCCTATTTTTCTAGTGAGATGATTATAAGTATATGTTCGTAATTTTTATTAAGCATAGACCTTTTAGGCATAATATTAGAAAGAGTATATAACATCTTTTTAATTATTTTTCTCTATCATTAACAACGCACAAACCCTTTGCAGACGCAACTGCTTCATCTAAAAATTCCCTTAACGACTAAGATCGCTCGATGTATTCACTATTAGAATAATTATATATTATTATTATTATTATTTTAATAAATATATCTTGTTATAATATATATAAAATGCGAGTCTTAATTAATTTTACTCTAAATCTTTACACATTCTTATTTTTTCTTTCAATTTATTTTGTAACTTACAAATATTTATAAATTGAAGGAAAAATAATTGATATAAAAAAGTTGAAGGATATTTATAAATTACAATTACTTGCGAGCAAGGGAAGAACAACAAAACAATCACAACCTGAAAACATTAGGACAAAAACATGAGCGACATCAGTTGTTGTACATTAAGAACAACATTTCAAGGTGAAAATCAAATAGTATTGTGACTTTAACGCCTTGGTTGCTGTTATGGTAATCTATGTTCACGTATTTGTACGTAATATGCATAGGAATCACAAGAGAACTTTGGTGGAAACTTGAGAGACGAACATAATAGAAATAGAAAAAAAGCTTCATGTGTTCAATTTGATTATATAGACCATTCAACATCCAGAGTCTCTATATTGGAAGGGTTTGTGGTTTGCATTTGGGAAACATGACGGAGTGCTGGATGCATTTATACCGAGTAAACGAAGTAGAAGTGGAAAAATGTTTGGTTTTTAAGATTTTTAAAAAAGTTCGAAGTGCTAGGTGCAATCAAAAGATTGAATGGAGAGAGATGGGAGAGGGTAGCTCCAGAAACTGAGAAAAAAAAAAGAATTACTTGTCATGTTGTACCAGAAGAACTTTGGAGGTTCAAAAGTGTTGGGAAATAAACGATTACGAGTAATTTCCCTATAACCAGATTAGTGAGAATGTGAAATAAAAGTGGAAAAATAATACCCAAAATTGATAACGGAGTTCAGCCAATTATGCCTACGTCTCCGGACTGCTGCAGATATTTTACTAAGAGAGAAAATTTACAGGTGTTTACAAAACACTCACTACTCACAAGAAAGCTCTCTAGTATTGGGAGAAATAAATGATTTAGGATGATTTTGAAGCTAAATGTGCTAGGGTATTTATAGTTGAAGCTTAAGGATTAATCTTGTAAATACCCTAAAGTATGCATGGACTAAAAATGTAATTTTTCAATTTTTATTTTCAAAAAACATTAACCAAACTCTGAAAACCATTTTTCAAAGTGTGGTGCCAAACTTTGAAAACCATTCGACCTCCTTTGTTGAAAACTCATATGGCGGTGCCTACCCTTTTTACTTTATAATCTCCCACTTGAAGACTGATTTGAATGTGTCTTCACACCTCGATCAATGCAGCAGTATTTTTGGTCTCATTACTCTAGCATGTCAATTGAAGTTGAACACAACTTCAGTTTGTCCGTAGTCACCTTCTTTGTCAACATGTCTTCTGGATTTTGAGCTCCACTAATCTTTTCAAGTTTCAAAATCCCATCTTCCAGAAGAGACTGGATAAAATGATATCTCAATTGTATGTGCTTCGTCATAGAATGAAAAGACGAATTCTTTGCTAGATGGATGTCACTTTGACTGTCGTAATACAAGACATTGTTTTCTTATTTCTTGCCTAACTTTTCCAAGAAACTTTGAAGCCAAACCATCTCCTTGCTGGCTTCCGTAATAGCGACATATTCTGCTTCAGTTGTGGAGAGAGAAACTATCTTCTGTAGTTGAGAAACCCAACTTACTGCAGTACCTCCTAGAGTATAGACATACTCTGTAGTGCTTCTTCTGATGTCAATATTTTCGGCTAAGTCAGCATCTACATAGCCTGTCAGTATCGTATCTCCACCTTTGAAACAAAGTGCTTTGTTTATAGTACCTCGCAGATATATGAGGATCCATTTGACTGCTTCCCAGTGTACCTTGCCCTGATTATTCATGTACCTGCTAACAACTCACACTACATGAGTAATATATGGTCTGGTACAAACCATGGCATACATCAGACTTCCAATTGCTGAGGCATACGACACCTTCACCATGTGTGCACATTCTTCCTCCGTCTTTGGTGATTGTTCTTTGAAGAGTCTAAAATGAACACCTAAAGGTATACTTACTAGTTTAACATCTTGCATGTTGAACTTGGAGAGTACTTTGTTGATGTACTCAGCCTGTGATAACATCAAAGTCCCCGACTTTGTGTCTCTCTTAATCCTCATCCCAAGAATCTACTTTACAGCGCCCAGATCTTTCATTGTAAACTGCTTCGACAATTTTTGCTTCAAGTTTTTAATCTCTTGCATGTCTGAGCCTGCAACGAGCATGTCATCAACGTACAACAATAAAATAATAAAGTTGTTATCGAACTTCTTGATGTAGAAACAATTATCTGCTTGACATCTGGTAAAACCACTGCTACTCATGAGGCTATCAAACTTCTTGTACCACTGTCTAGGAGCTTGTTTTAAACCATACAAGCTCTTCTTTAACTTACATACCAGGTTTTTCTTGCCTGCCTCTATGAAGCCTTCTGGCTGCCTCATATAGATTTCTTCCTCCAAATCTCCATGAATGAAAGCTATCTTTACATCTAACTGCTCAAGATGTAAATTCTCTACAGCTACAATTTTCAACACCATTCTGATTGTAAACAATTTCACGACTGGAGAGAAAATTTCATTATAGTTAATACCTTCTTTTTGCTAAAAGCCTTTGAAAACCAATCTTGCTTTGTAGCATTTTCTCACATCGTGCTCTTCTTTGATCCTGTAAATCTACTTGTTATGGAGTGCTTTCTTGCATGGTGGTAATTCAGCTAATTCCCACGTCTAATTTGACATAAGCGAGTCCATCTCATCTTTCATGGAAGACTCCCACTTGACTGAATCCTCCACCTGCATTGCTTCATCATAGCACTCTGGTTCACCATTGTCAGTCAGTAACAAGTAGTGCAAAGAAGGTGAATACCGCTGGGTTGGTTTAGAAATTCTAGAGAAGCGTCTCAGTTCTGGTGTGTCTGGTTCTTCTTGAACTGCTTCAGGACTGATCTGGATATCATTTCTAGAAATCTCCTCAAACTCAGCAAATTCCTTTGTTTCAGCTTCGGTATTGGAGCTACTTGATTCTATGGTTGACCTGTCTTTGTACATCACATTTTCATTGAAAATGACATCTCTGCTTCTGATGATCTTCCGATTTTCATAGTCCCAAAACCAGTAACCGAACGCATCACCACCATAACCAACAAAGACGCATTTGTTGGACTTAGCATCAAGTTTACTTCTTTCAGTAGAATTTATGTGTACATAAGAAATACAACCAAGCACTCTTAAGTGTGAAAGGTTTATTTCTTTATTTCTCCAAGCTTCCTCTGGTATTCCACCATCCAAGGGAACTGAGGGCCCATGGTTGATCAGGTAAGCTGCAGTGTTGATTGCTTCAGCCCATAGCAATTTGGGCAATC